ACACCATTGTCACCAACCTTGTGTAGCTTTCATGGTGAATTCTCCCAAGCACTAAAGCCATTCCAGTGCTTCTAATCTAAAGCGCTTTCGAATTTCGATCTACTTTTCATCTCTTGCTCTGTTTCAGTCTCCCAGGTCTTCGGCTTTGAATTCAATCTCTGTCATAACCCTGTCCTAGAATTCTCTGATTCTTATTGGAATTTGGGTCTCTGCTCCCTCCCTGCTTCTCCTGTTAAAAAGTCTGAGACTCCCAAACCAAACTTGTATTGGGACGGGCGCATATGGACTTTGTAAGTTTTTTTGCGCTTCTTCTCCAATCCATTGGAATTTGGGTTTTTGTTGTTTCTGGAAATTCTGTCGATCTTCTGCTTCTGTTGATGTTAATTTGGTGTATGGGTTGATGGGTTTTGTGTTTCTTGATTTGGGTTTCTGTTTTTGTTGTCATTTCTACTTCCCTCTTCAATGCCTGCTACTTGTTTGATGAAAGTCCGCACAGAATAATTGTCTTTTGAATCCTTTGTTTGGTTGTGATGAATGATGTCTGAATCATAGGTGTGGGAGAGACAAGTGAATCCGAGCGTAAATATTTGCACATGGAGCTGAATTGTTTTTTCTTTATATGGTTTGTTTGAAACTGTGAATCATGTCGGACGTGGTAATGTAGAGCTTTTTGGGCTGTCACTTTTGGAATGTACTGTCGTTGCCATAGAGGTTGATATGATGGGAACGCCTTTTTTTGATTTAAAAGTATATGATTTTTTGGGGTAATCTGTCTCAAGGTTTTGACATATCAAGAGGTCATTCGCTTATTCAGTTTTTGTCAATCGGGAAGGTGTCCATCCGGCATTTTGAATTTGTTTGGTTACATCAAGGAGGAGTCGATGAATGGCATGACATGCTAAGAGATCTGTGATCTTTCATTTGTGCAGCAAGCCTCATTCAGGCTAAATCTGTAGCTTCTTTTGGTCTTTTTCTGGTAGTCTAAGAGTTGCAATGTTTTATTTACACATTGACTTATAGGCAACATAAAAGATACTTCCTTATTGGCTTTCCTTTTTTCCACCTTTGGTTCAATGTTTAAGCCAAATTTTATCAGAGTTCACTTAATTTTCTTTTATCTGCTATTGGGTACTTATTACTATCTGTAGATTGATGCTGCTAGTGCTAATAATATTTTCACTTGTCAGGTAATGGAATCTGAAAATGGAGTTAATGTGGAGGATGAGAGTTGTGCAGTTGAGAAGCCACAAGTGGATAATTCAGTTGTGGATTTGGCGAAAAAAAGTGAGAATGTTGACTGTGGTCATAATGCTCCCACTTTGAAAGATATTTCGGGACCGGTGGCAGTAACCGAAGTCCTTAGTTCTTCCAAAGCTAAGATTCAGGCCTCTGTGACTGTTCCCAAGGGCAAAAATGTAAAAGGTTCAAAGGTATTTTCATTGGGTGATTCTGTAATTAACAAGTTATCACACATGAATGATACAGACTCTTTGCCTCTATTTTGTTTTATTTCCTAATGAATTTTTAGTTCACTACAGGAACCTGGAACAGCAGGAGGTCCTTCAAAGATTAACAAACTGGCAAAGGAGAAACCAACCATAACAGGCTTTGCCCCATCCCCTCGAACAAACAGGCGAATCCTTTCTCAGAGTCTTTCATTTCCTGCAAGAGGGGTCAGTACCGACGTCATGGACAAAAGCATTGACAAATATCCAGTTAAAACGGTTGCCAAACGCACTGGGGAAAATGGCATTAAATCAAGGACCCAAGCGTCTGAGGATTCTCAGTCGAAGAATCCAAGCAAGAATGCTCTAAACAGAGTGATCTCTAGGGGAGTGAATAAAAACGCTGGTAGTAGTGCCCTGAGATCTTCATTGGCAGCAATTCCTGGCAATCGCTCCTCTATTGTAAGACACTATTTTTCCATACCTTTTCCTTGCAAATTAGTCTCCTGCTCCTCCAGCCTGATTTAACTAATTATATTACATTTTTTGTTTCTAATCAGTCTGAGAAAAATGCATCAGTGAATGCGACTAGCGATTCTCCTCCGTCTGAATCGGCTGTGTAAGCCAATGCCCTCTGCTGGGAATGTCTTAACAATTTTACTATCAAAGAGGCAATCTATTAACATCTAGTTGTGTTCTGTGCAATTGCAGATCTGTTGAACAGAAACCAAATCCAGGAAAAGCAACATTCCTCCCTAAACAGGATGATGATGTTCACTCCACGTCTTCGTATGGTTCTCGTTCTTGAGGCTGCTACTAATACTTGTTTATTTCTGTTTGTTCTTAGTTTCATAATAAAGTCATACTTTTGTATTATCATCAGAGGTGCCACTCCCCGTGGAAGGAGAAATAGTTGTCCTGGTTTTGCTTTCCGGTTGGACGAACGTGCTGAGAAAAGGAAGGAGGTTCGAATGAATATATTTTTTCTGTTTCTCTTGTTTGTTCGTGATTCTAGATGCAGAAAACATTATGTTTCCTGTCCTTTAATGGCAGTTCTTTTTGAAGCTAGAAGAGAAAATCCAGGCAAAGGAAGTTGAGAAAACTAATATGCAGGCTAAATCAAAGGTATAGCAGATTGCCCATTTTGTTGAACCACCAATGGCTCTTCTTTCGTTCAGTGTAACTTCATCTTTCAAGTACCCGGCACGCCCCCGGTCCCTGACTTTCCCTATTGCAGTTATTTTACCTGAGTTCATTTTCTGCCTCGGATACTTTGCAGGAAAGCCAGCAGGCAGAGATTAAGCAGCTGAGAAAGAGTATGACATTTAAAGCAACACCCATGCCTAGTTTCTATAAAGAACCTCCTCCAAAAGCTGAACTAAAGAAGGTAATTGAATTATTAGTTGATACTATCAGGCTAAATGCTTAAGGGTCATTCCCTTAAATAAAAAGGAAAAAACAAAGAAAAGGAACCAAATGCTAAGTGCTCGAACAAGTTCTATATTTTCTGTACGAATCCAGTTTGACAAGCTTATATTCTTATGTTTCTCTCTGTGCCCCTTGATTGATTATGTAACCGTATTTTGCATTACTTTGTATAGATACCAACTACCCGTGCAATATCTCCAAAGCTCGGTAGACATAAGAGCTCGACTGCTGAAGCGGGCGCCTCTGTACACAGTCCACGTCAAAACGGTGAACCGAGCAATTCGCCAAGGGCATTCCGAGCTAAATCCGATAAAGAGACTATTAGTTTGAAGAAGCCAGCTAAAAAGCCCCAAACCAAGCTCCAGCCGAACGAAGCTCCAGCATCTAAAACAGAAGGAGCTGCCATCAAGTCAAAACCAAAGATCAGCAAACCCGAAAGACAGCACCCGAAAGCAGACATTTCAGAGATTACAAAACAGGAGGAGCAGCAGCCAGCAGACCATCCCGAATCCAACGAGGTCGAGGACCTGAATTCTGGATTGAATCCTCCCAACGAGGAACCAACAACCTCACCCTCACCAGAAATCATGGCACCTGAAATTGCAGTTGGAGGCTAAAAAACGCGCAAGGTTCACTTCCAAGACATCATATTTAGAGGTTTGAAAATTTTTATGGTAAGTATTGTGAATAGAATATTTGTCTGTTCTTATGTCAAATTTATAAATTTGGTGTCTACAGGTCAACATGAGTATTTGT